ATCGTAAAAGTTGCTACGACGAGCGGAATTCGATTCATTCATGAGAGGTGAATGAATTTTCAGAACCATGTTTGTTAAGTGGAAATGGAAATTTGCCTTGAGGCAAGTTGCGTGAACTTCCAGATATATATAAATAATGGACCTAATCGATAAGAATTTAGATTTAACCACTTTTAAACTGGCGACTCTAATATTTTCAATTAGAAATCAATCCGATTTTTAATTGATATCTCACAAAACACTTAAAATTAAGGTGACCACAAGTCCCGGTTTGGCTGGGGCGGTCCCAGATTTAAATCTAGTGTCCTAGGTTTTTCTAAGAGCAAAAATTGTCCAGGATTTAGAAATTTTGTCCCGGATTGTCCCAGGTATAGGTGTAGGTTCAAATAGAATGTTTTCAATTACTTGATATTAAAATTACAGTTACCCTTGAAATATCTGAAAACGATATATACAACGAAAATGCTCATATCAAATATAAAGTTCTCACTAATGATCAGTAATTTTGTTTAAAAAAAAATTAGATTTTCTGTCATTATTCAAATTAGAATATCTGTCATTCTACTATTGTGCTAATTAAAGAGGCATGAAGAAGAACTTAGAATATAGACTTAAGTCGTTCAACAATGATCTTTTAGACTTTAGACAACAAACCTTAGCAATATGCAAAGTTTTGAAAAAAAAATATGAAGAAACCCCTGGCTGATATTTACCAAAAACTAATAATCACCATTCCAACATATTTCTCTTAATAAGTTTCTGAATGTTCAAAAGCGGTTCAGAATTCTTGGCAAAAACGTGGACGAAGTTCTTTGCAATTTTCTGCGAATTCTAAAGAGACGGTTCGGCCGATCTTCTCGTAAGATTCAACTCGATTACTTATTAAACTTCACCAAATGAACAAATTTTGGCTCATATGCAAATACACACATACTTTTTCCTATTTAGTCTTAAAGCATTGAGATTGACTTCAAACATATCGAGACAACATAAAATTAGCGAGTTTCTGGCAAAAAATAAAGTTCTCCTTCGGGAAGTTAAAAGTAAAACTCCTAAAGAGATCTAACCAGATCTTCATGAATTGTAGTAATATGTATAAGCGTGATAATAACAGTGTTCGGACGTATTTTCGTTTTATTATATTGGCCATAAAGATGACAATCTTCATGGCATTGAGCTTTTACGCGGGATGGTTTCTACCCTTGTACAGGGGGTAGCAGAGTGTTTTGATAGGGCTAATTGGACACTTCTAAAAATAAAGTCCCCTAAACAACATGTATAATAAATAATAAACTAGCTGTAAGTGGAATTCTGTCTTAAGGCAATTAAGGCATCGTGCCTTAAGGCAAATTGCTGGAACTTCCCGTACCAAAAATTATTATTTTTTTAAAAACGATTAACATTTTTGAAAAAAAATTACTTTGAAAAAATAAGATTTTTGAGAAACTATAAATTGGACAAAAAATTACTTTTCTTTAAAAAAAAAGTTTTTTTTTTAATTTTTTTTTTTTTTGAAAAAAAAATTTTTTCTTTATTTTGACATATTGTGGAAGATCTGAACTTTTTTTCAAAGCAATCGTACTGCTTTAACTGCATAGGGACAAAATATAAAGCGCGTAAGCGCCGCGTCGCTGTCTAACGCATAAGCATTGGTACGGAACCCATAGGAATGTTAACAAAATGTATACTTATTGTTAAAATCTCTATAAAATATCTGATAATTTGATGTGCATATGTCTAATGATCATTTTTGACCGCCAAATGGCTCATTTTTTTACTTTTTCTCCATATCTCCGAAACCGCTAGACCTACCTTCATGAAAAATTTTATCGATTTTCATCTTGTCAATACAAGTGAAACGTTTTTTGAATTATTCAAATCGGACGCTCCGTTCTCTTAAAAACTGAGTTACCGTTTTCGGCACTTTTTGCCCCGTATCTTCGGAACGGCTAGACCTGTCTTCGCCAAAAACTAATCAGCACGTCTCCTTATCAATACGAATCGAATGTTTTTAATTATTCAAATCGGTTGATCCGTGTTCCGAAATCGTCGACGAAAATTTGTATCCGCACATACATACACACACACGTACATACACACACACACACACACACCACACACATACATCCATTTTTTCTAAGGTATGCCAAAATGTTCAGAAACCTCTGAAACGTAAAGATATATAAAAATTTTCATTTTCGATTTTTTTGCGATTACTATAACTTACCCTACGGGAAGTTAATAAATATATCTTCTTTCATTATAACTTATTGACAAATCAATGATTGTAATAAGAACTGCAACAAATACATAATATATCAACAAATAAATGTTTAATACAGTCCACAGCTACAAGGGTTAAATCATAACCCAACAACCTGAGTTAATCGAAGAAGAGTTTTAATAAATTTCATAACTACGTGGCATAAGTACAGACAGTAACAAATATCACATAAAACTTCTTATAACCCTTTTACTTTAAATTTACTTTTTTTTGAAAAAAAGCATATGTATTTATGTAGATTTGTTGGTCAGTTACAGTGTAAAATACTGCGTTTAAATTGATTTTTCAAATTATTTATAAATATTATAGCGCAGTGGGTTGCATCTAAATTTATTGAATTGAATGCATCTTTGTCCCATTATTTAATTTATGGTAATATTTGTTGATGTTTTTTCTTTGTAAATTTAAATCTAAAAGCGTAAATCCTGTATTCTAGCATAAATAATGCAATTTTACAGCTTCGATCACTCGGAAAACAGCAACTATGCAAGAGACAACATATTCACACATATGATATCCCATGTTAGTCTATATATTGCTGTCAGGAAAAATAGAAAAACTTATATGAATCTAGTACACGTTTTCCTGCAAAAATTGTTCATATACTTCATTTTATGCATTGAAATCTTTATTTACTTACAAACAAGATTTGTAACAATACTGTAAGTACACAGCGTGGTATCAAATAACTTATTCTATTTGTATACCTAGTAGACTTCATAACCAAGAGATAATTTTGTTGATGCTCAAAAATTGTCACAAAATGTTTATGAACTTTGCAATTTAAAAAATATACAAAATTGAGATCATTTATTGATACATAAAAGTAAAATATATATCAACAATTTGTCAATGTAAACTGCTTATTGTCTATTAAGTTAAGAAGTCTATCATCAAATTGTAAGTTTGTTAAGATTAAACTAGGCCATATTGTATATAAATATATTATATAGCATTTTTTTGAAAAAATTTAAAATCGTTACCTAATAATTGTACACTATAAAAATACATCTATGATGATCACATAACACGACTAATAGTTCATCTTTTAATTGTTCATAACGCTTGGCTTGAAGATAATTGTGCATGTTAATATCTAATTTTTTTTAGTCCCTAAGTAAAATTATATTTCACCTTTCTTAAATATTTTTAGTTTATTTATAACTAAAATGCTATACATATAATTGTGTTAAATTAATTAATTACCTAATGTACGGAATGCCAGTATGTTATATTTTATAACAATTTGTGTCAAAAATTCGTGGATAGTTTTTAAATTTACAGAATAAAAATATATCCAAAATATATATTTAATAACAGTATTAGAAAGGTTTGTCAATTTTAGAATTTGGTATTAACGTAGAAATATTGAGAATAATATTTTATATACGAATTATTTCATTACTGCTACAAATAGATAAAAATATCAAAATCAAAAGATTGTTATAGTTTAAAAAAATGTGACCCAAGAAATTTTCTTTGAGAATACCTAAGATTTTCGTTCGTTACTGGAAACTAGTACCAAAAACTAATTAATTATTTCCCTGGCAATAACTAAAATTGCATCAAAAACTATTACTATACTGGCCTAAAACGATAAATCAGTTAAATTAACCCAAAAATCAGAATAAAAACTTGTATATCGAGTAAAAAAATCGTTGGTTGCAACTAAATATTAATATAATAATAATTAATAATTAATGCCTGCTGAAACTCTAAATTGTGATTTGCTGTAACTATTAAAAGTAAAACGAAATTAAAAATGTATACATATCATTCGAGTTACTTACCAATGGCACGTATTTAACTAAAAATTGTTTATTGAATAAATGTGAAAGCATCTTCATAAACAGATATTGAGGTTGTTAGGTTTAAATTATTTGGTACTATATAAAATTTATATATTAATATAAAATTAATTTGTACGATTTCTATTAAAATTCACATCAAACATAATTGTGTAAACATAATAAATCAAAATTAATACCACAACCAAAAGCTATAGAAATCATCACAAAAAAACATTACAAAAAATGTTGTATTTAATCTTGGCTATTATTCGATTAAATCTAAATTTTGGAAAATGTTATTTCATAATTAATGTCATAATAAATAGATAATAATTCTGAATTGACAATAAAAAGCATAATAAGGCAAATTAAATCACTTACAAAAACTTTGTTAGAATGTTCAATTGTCTGATCTTTAGGTATGTATAAAATCAGCAAATTGAAAATCAACATTCATTACTCAAACATAAGATTGAGTAAAATTGTACAAATCTTCAGTCTATCAGAAAAATTTGAACACATTATTATTTTATAGTTAAATTATTGTTTTTTAACACACGATTTAGAATCAATTGCGAACAAAAATTAAGAAGAAATTTATCCGCAACATAACATTTTTTCGAACAATTATTGAAAAAATTGTAACAGGTGATTAAATTAAGGAGGTTTTGATATATGTATACAAGTTTGTCATACGAAAAGTTTAATTGTTTAAGAATGAATGAAAACTGATGCTGAAATCAAAAGATTGTTCGCAAATGTATTCATTCACACAAATTTTACACTTTTATACCATACCCAAAATGTTCTTTTATTCGAATCATTTATTTACTACAAATTAGGTCTAGATCGAAGTAGCATTGTTTTATCCTAAACCGACATCAAGACACATCATTACCACGAAACCCAAAACTGCGCCCCACGTGGCCAACTTACCGTTACCGCTGCGAAAAATATGAAAATTCGTTATTAATATTTATTTAAAATAGACCGATTAACTAATTAGTATTATATTTATGCTGGTTAGGTAACGCACCCTTGCAAAGTTTGAAAAAGCTGATATTTTATAGACAATACAATGATTATTTTTATCTGAAATTAATAAACATTAAGGAGTAAAATCTCAAGATCAATTAGTAAGTAAATGTTACTGGTTTCTTTTGTTCGTATGAGTTTGTATGAGTAGGTAGTTAGAAAGTATGTCTTTCCATATCAATCGAAGCTTTTAGACTATGCCAACCTCTAAAACCTACCCTCCATATGGCACAAATTTCAAATAACAATGTTATCATAAATTGGTTAATATGTTATCACTTATGATAGGACACTAATGAGCTGAATCCGCCACACAACAGACCAATGTTATAGCAAGGCCATGTTACGCTCCAATTTCCATACATCATGCTACTGAATCATAATGAATACTGTCTAAATGTCATGTATTTGCTGTGCATTCAGGCATTTCACACATAAACTGCAACGTCACTTGTATGTTATGAAGCTGGATCAAAAATACCCTGTTATCTAAGATCTTTTTTTTGACATTGTGCGGTTTCTAGGTTAGGTTTTCTATCTGGCAACCTGAAAAACGCCTGACTGCACACTAACCACATGAATTTGTCAATATTTAGTATGGATACTTCTTCATAACATAGCCTTAGCATAACCTTGGTCTGTGTGGGGGCAGAATCGGTCCATAAGTGAAGTCGAACTAATGTTATAACTATATACTCTGACGCAATTTGGAGGTTAGGTTTTAGAAGTTGATATAGTATAATATGGCCGATCGAGCAGCAAAAGCATAGCTTTTTGACAGTTCGTGACAACCAAGTCAACAAAAGAGACCAGTAATATAATATAATTATTTTATTCAAGAAATGGCTCCAATGCTCTGAACTTGATTTCAAAGTGATTCATCATTTTAATAATTTGAGAGATGTGCCGAGGAAGAGACGCTTATTGAAAATAGGAATTACTCCACGGCATTTCGTTAAGAACACAATTTGACTATGAATTTTTCAATTGATTCACAAGTTGACACTTTTGTGAATCAAATAATTCAAACTAGTATTTATTTGATGTAATTGTGCTAGCAATTTTCATTTGAAAATATAGATCCATAATATATTTCCAAGTGCAAAATAATGTAAAATATTTTAATTTTTTTTGTTATGATCCAAAATATTAAAAATGTCGCATACGATAAATTTTTGAAATTTTGAGTCGTAGTTAGCCCAGGCATTGCTGAAGTTAATTTAAAAATAATTTATTATCAATATAAGATAATTTATAGTAATAAAAATCTATCAAATATAGATGGGTTAACCATTGAGTTGCCATCTAAATTCAGAGTAAAAAAAGAAAAAGTTTAAGCACAGGAACTCGTAGGACGATAAATCTGATTGCTTTCAAAAACGAGAATAATTTCACCATAAAAATTTATAAAAAAATTCCAACGTGCAATCGTATATAAGCAACTGCCATGGTTCACAGGTAGATATATAGGAATGAGTTAGACCTCGTAAAATTTTAATTATCATTGCAGATTTTATGATGGATATTCTAATTTTATTGTACACAATAAATTTACTGGCTGAAATTCCTACTACTTGTTATATAAAATTTAATTATTAATAAACAATATTTTATTGCTATATTTTCAAATTGATGGCGTATTTTATGATTTGCAGTAGATAATTCAGGCATCTTCTAAGAAAAACTGACAAATAAATAATTATCTATACAAAATAAATTGGAAGTAATATATTTCAATTTATGGAAAAAATTACTATTATTTTTAAGAAGAATACTACTTGTTTAGAACAGCAAAAATTACATGATTTTTAATGGTATTTTAACATAGTAAGCATATTTCCCTTTTTCAGCACGTCTCTTCTATTTGATAAATTAATCAATGCGATCTATAAAATATCAGCTTTTCTGATTTGCTTTCATTCGTTGTTAGTTCTACTAAACTAAACTATAATTATAATTTATTATCAGTGGTTATCGATTTCTATTTGCAATCTCCCATAACACAATAAATCAATAATGAAACAGCAACTTCTTGATATACATGCTAACATGAAATGCGAATGATGAAACGAAACGCTAAATGTCAAATGTTTAGGAAATATTAAGAAATGTAGTTACAAATAAGCAAACGTGCACTATTTTACACATATACTACTACTTCTACTATGAGATGATCTACGATTCTACTAATCCAATAAAAAAAAGTAATGCCAAAACTACTACTTAATTCAGTAGTAAATAAAAGCACTGTTAATGGAATATGCCATTTTTGAATGACCAAGTCATTCTGATACTAAGCGATTAAGGTACATGGTTGATACATTAATTTCTCTTGCTATTTTTGAGATATAAAACAACATCCAAAATAACGAATATATGAGTTCCTAAATAATTCAAATAAAAAAATGCAGAAGAATAGAGCAATTTCCATTTGATCCACTTGTGGAAACCAATTAAGGTAGCAGATGCACGTATATTAGGGCCAATTGGGCCAATACATAAATTTTACCACAATAACAAACATTTTTGAATAGTTTTAATAGCAATATGTTTTATCAATATTTTTTAACTATTTGGAAAAGCAAATATGATCAGGAAACATGTAAATTGAATCAAGTACCTACGCACGTATATTAGGACAAATGAGGCTAATAAAATTTTTTGCGATAATAACAATTTTTTTTTTAATTTTATTTTATTTTAATTATTATTTTATTTTTTTAATAGTTTTAATAACAATATATTTATTAATATTTTTTAACTATTTTGGTAGGAAAAAATTGTAATTTGAATCAAGTACGTCTGGTTATATTGGGCTAATAGTTGTGTATTAATCACAATGCAGCTAAAATCGCTTTAATTTCGTTGCAATTATTTTTGGGCACTACGATTTGAACCAATGATAAATATGAGTAAAATGTAATTCTAATTGGAATAGTAAAAATTTCACTATGGAAAGCAAACTATGTGACTTCACTATTTGGACACTAGGCCAAATCTATCCGGTGCTGGATGCAGTTTCCATGCCAATGATTTAAAAGTTGGAAATTAATAATAGTTAACAAACATGAGTATTTCGATAGAAATGTATTTAATCATCTTTAGTTGCTAGAATAAACTAGCAATTAAATATGAAAGTTTCTATATGCGTATGAACAATTATATTTAATCAAATCATTAATTATGTAAAATGGTTTAGAAATTAGCAATATTTGAAAAATAGGAGTGTCAACTAATTTTGGCAAGTCATATAAACATATTACCCCAAACCAGCATAAGAATATCTAAATGAAATATAATAATAAGTTTGATTGCCTATATAAATTAATATCTAGATATAAATAATAGAATTGACTAGAATATTTATATCACAATAGTGTCGATTTTTGTATGTCGAAGAGCGTGTGAATTTGGAATCAAAACTCTTATGCAACAAAATAAATAATATGATGAATAAATGAAAATATAATTTTCATGCAACTTTTAAATGAGATGAATATGAATTGATATTCAAAAATAGTGTAAAATGATTATACATGGTGGTGTTAATGAATTTCAGCAATAATTTCATAATATTGGATGCATTCTACGACAATATACACATTAATTATTGAGGTTAGAATGATGTAGGTGTGTTCAGAACATTTTGGTTCAGAACTGGTTCAGAAACCAGTCAAATTTCAGTAGGAAAAATTGTTAGGTATGTTACATGTTCCAAAATTTCGGAATTTTGAAGATTCGTTGTATGAATATCACTTAGAAGTAACTTTAGATACGATTCTGATTTACTATAATGAATCACGAACAGAGACAATTCACGAAAATGTAGTTGAGATGTAAATCCTGAATACTTAACTAAATTTCTATGATTCAAGAAAGCACCTGATTCGTCTACTTATCTTTATAATTCTATTTATCTTCATTTACCAAATATGTTATGTACTTGAATCAGTGAACATATATTTGGAATATAAGTTTAAATAAGGTGACCATTTTTTTTTGCATGTAATCCGGGACGGATTAGAAGGTGTGTGAGAGGGGGAGGGGGTGAGCTAACAATATGTATGCACATTTTTTCGGTTCAAATTTTCTAGTTGAAATATATTTAAACAATATTGTCAATCAAAACATTTTTAAAAATCCGGGACAATCCGGAACAAAACACCTAAAACCGGGGCAAATATTGCTTTTAGAAAAATCCGGGACGTAAGGCGGAAAATCGGGTCTGTCCCGGCCAATCCTAGACGTATGGTCACCTTAGTTTAAACCACATAGTAACACCACAACGACAACATTGTGTCGCAAAACCTAAACCGACCTGTTGAATTTTTGAACACATCACCTCGTATACATGAATGACAAAAGTGAAGCCATGCTTTGAATATACAAAACCATCCCTTGATCTTTTATACAACGTTACAATGCGTTAAAACATACGTTAAATCTTTTATACAATGCGTTAAAACAAAAAGGTAATTACATTAACTACAATTTCTACTATTGCCTACCTCGTATTAGCCTCAGGTATAATATCGTCTACTACGACGTAGATCATAGCTCCGGCAGCGAAGGCCAAAGCGTAGGGCAGCGCTGGCCTCGCGGCGGCTACTGCTACGGCTCCCAATACACCGAAAACGGGCTCTACCATGCCAGATAATTGACCGTACCTGAATAAAGTGTTGGAAAAAAATTCAAATTGGTTTTATTATATCAGTATAATTTTAAATGTACGTTTTTTCTACAAAAATGGCAATCTAAAAGTAAATGATTTACACGCACCAGTATACTCGTCAATATATAAATTCTTGGACTTCCTATGACGAGTTAAAATAACATTTTAGAACAAAATGTACTGTTCATCGAAAAAATGTTTTACTTTGAAATGAACTGCTTAAGTTAAGCTGCTTAACTTAGTCCTTACTTAAGCAGAAAATAAAGTTGAAATTAACACTATAAAATTTATAAGCAACATCACGTGTTAATTGATTCAAATATAACATATAATATAAAATGTATATGTTAATTTTATCTAAATCGACAATTAGCTCGTTAATGAATATTTTTAATTACAAGTTTCTGCACAAAAATCTTCTCATACTATTCTTCAGACAAATAAATAAGCCGACAATATTCAGTCATGCACTCACATATAGAAGTTTTTTTTTAAATAAAATTTTAATTTCAAATGAATCAATTTTAAACTTATTTTTATAATTAACATATATTCCATACTCGAGAATAATGTAAAAAATAATAATCCAATAAATTAAAATATATTAATATATATAAATTAATTAAAAATAAATAATTGTATATCTTTTATTACCAAAAACTGCGCCACATTGAAAATCCAGCAGAGTGAAGAGGAAGACTGACAGCTAAGCCTTCCGGGAAGTTTTGAATTCCAATTCCAATTGCCAAATTTCTGAAATAAAATATTAATTGATAAAATCGTGGAATTAATTGCTTAAGTAAAATCATTTATTAAAACCAATATATGAATCAGTACCTTAATTTATTAATAACTTATCTAGAAAACTATAAAAATATAAAAATCTAGAAGAAAAATTGTAAGAACTCGGTAAAAATATAAATGAATAAATTTCACTTCATTCATAAAAAATAAAATCTTTGAATTTTTTTTCACAGGCAGGGATGATAAAATTTAGATACGCCATTTGATTATGGAACTAAGAAATTAAAATGCTATATTGAAATTTATTACTCTTGATATTTTTCTTACACTTACACTTAGATGTGTAATAATTCATACAAAGTTGCACTTGTCATTTAGCCACATTGTTAAAATGTGACACGATAATGAAGTTTTGTTTTATCTACTTATGAATTTTGTTATAACTACAGTAGAAACTCGTTTATCCGGCCCTCAGTTATACGAATTTGCGATTATCCGAATTAACAACCGCGACCAATTTATTGCCTAGTTATTTCATGATTGGAAACAAATTATCCGTACATGAGTACTTAAATATTTTATTCCATTTAGCTCCAGTTTAGTATTATGCATGTAGATAATGTAATCTTGTAAGATAATATGTATGTACATTAGGGTAGTCCTTAAAAAGGTCTTTTTCGAATTTCCTTGCTCCCAGGGGCTCAATTGGTTCCAAATAGATAAAAAACAATTCTCCGAAAGTTTTAGCTCTTAATATTCACGTTTAGATAGAGCGCAATTCAATCAAAGTTTTGTATGGAAATAGCATGGAATAATTTTCAAAAAATTTAAAAATGTTTTTTTAGTTTAGTTACGCAACGCTCGGAACATGGACATACGCGAGTAGACGGCACGAAACCAGCCAAGAAAATTCCAATCATTCATAATAAGAATGAGAATAATGGAAATATTAATGATTAAATCATTTGAATTAAATATCGAGAAATTGAGATATTTGATGATTAAAAACAAAGAATGAATAAAACTCATTCATTTGTCGCTAAGTTATACCTTTTTGTCGCTAAGTTATAACTTTCAGAGAATTGTTTTTTATCTATTTGGAACCATTTGAGCCCCTGGGAGCAAGGAAATTCAGAAATGACCTTTTTAAGAACCACCCTAATGTACATACATAAGTAAGTGTTAATTTCTTAATAAACAATGATTTTAGTTGAAACCTATGTATTTGTTGTTTTTAATATACACAACATTATTCTTCATACTTTCAATTATCCGGATTTTCTTTTTTCTTAATCGAATATCTTCTATATATATCACCAATATTTTAAACAAGGAGAAAATACGCGGTTTAAATTTATTAAACCCAGTGATACCCAGTGACATGGGTTATGTTGTTTACTTATTTGTAATTATTTTTGAATTCTACAATATTGTTCAGAAAACAAGCAATATGTGACTATACTTCATAAAATCAATAAATTAAAAAAATCTACCAATTATTCTTATTAGGAAAATCGACCAACCAGAAATTACCGACGTGCAAGTAAGGACTTACTAAAAATTAATACAATATGGAAATTGACAAAAACATTGTCTTGTACGCAGGTCTCAATATATTTCAAGATATCCAACTCTGTATACAATACATCAAAATTAATAACTGTGAGCTTATAACAAGACAGCATCCGGTTTCTTGTAGTTTTTATATGAATGAGACACGGTACGGCACGACCTTGCGCGCCGTACGCCTTGGATGTCCTACTTGGTCTGCGCCACGCAACGCTCGGAACATGGACATACGCCAGTAGACGGCACGAAACCAGCCAACAAAATTCCAATCATTCATAATAAGAATGAGAATAATGGAAATATTAATGATTAAATCATTTGAATGAATTATCAAGAAATTCAGATATTCAATGATTAAAGACAAAGTTGTTCAATTACTTAAACGGTTATAAACTTTGCTTGTTACTATTATTGGATTATTGGACTTTTCCTTATACGCTTGAATTCCAATTTGTTCATTCATATTAACAATTTAATCAAAATAAATATAAATAACACTGGTTATTGGGTTAATATAAATAACACTGGTTAGAGGGGGGCGCAATTTGATAAATTTTCCATTCTTCGACGTCACAAGTTATTATTAGTATGTTTGCTAAAAAAAAATCAAAATTAGACCTTTGTTAGATGGCATTTATATTAGTATTTTTAAATTATTATTTCCAATGGTTTGTTCTGATTCTATTTAAAAATATAATATATGTAACAGTGCTATTATGTCTCAATACTTTTTGAGGTGTAATATTTCAACCAGATATGGCTAGCCAAAGGGCCCAAATATCAGAAATCGTAGAGAAAACAGAATTTTTTTTTTAATTTAATTTTCAATAGCAATCAGAATACATGACAATTCTATGAGCTATTTGTCCTATGTCATTCACTCGCAAAATAGAATGGAATGAATAATATTAATGAAGTTTGAGTTCAACAGTAAAAGACAGCTGATCTAGATAAATATCACAATTAACTAAGAGCTGCAATAGAAAGAAATAGTGCAGTGGATAACTTTTGCGATGGCAACAAGATTGAGCTGCAGTAATGTGCATTTGATATGTTCATTATCAATTTTTGAAAAATGTTTTTGTGTTGTTTTCAATTATTTATTGTTGGTGTTGTTAAATTATTGTTAAAGCTCACGTAAAACTAAATATATATGTACTCTGAAAATGATAAAAAACGACCTTCTGAATATAGAAACAATTTCGTCATCTAACAAGTACCAGACGTAAGTATACAGACAAACTCAGCAAACCAGTTGCATTCGGTTACATTTCTAGAGCAGCATTTTCGCTATTATTATAGTAAAACAAAGTATAAAGAAAATGCTACTTAAACTTATATAATAAAAAATACCATAAATTGCATTGTTTCCATAAAATATCTATGAAACCTTATATGTGTATTATATAGAATGCAAATAATACAATTGCATTTGTAGAGAAAAGATTACTTTGCGATTGACCAAATATAGAAAAAATAGATTTAAATCAAACGAAATTATATGAAATATAGATTATAAATGCATCAGTAAATATGCACTCTGTAAGTTGAAAAAGGGCATTCTGGAAAGTGAAACATCTTCGGCATCCAACTGGCCGAATAAATGATGCTAACCAGTTACGGTGTAATCAGTACAATTTCTAGAGCAGCATTTATACCAATTTTTATAGAAAGATATGAAATTGAAAGAAAATGTTTCTTATATAATAATTCACACAATATATTACATTTCCTTCACATAGTAATGATTTATGTGCGAAGTTTTATTTTATTACTATACAATGATTTTCACACTTATCCTAATTGCCAATCCTAATAGGATAACATGCAAAACTTTAAGAATAGGAAGATAAAACATAGGACTTTAAAAATACAGAATCTCCTGACCAATGCCAGTGATTTTGAGATTGAAAGAGCTTAATATATAATGAACTTCTTTTTCAATACTGCCCCATTGAGTTTGGGTGATCCTTGAGGAGGCCTTCGTATTTGTCTAAATGAATTCGTATTTTATCGTTTATCGCGTGTTGATATTGACGTCTTCATGGATTAACCAACTTGGTACATACTTTAGGGCATTCAAATTTTCTAATAATCTTATTTTAACATTTTTAAATCCCTTAACACACAGTTTTGTAAAACTATGATCAGGTCGACCAATTTTTAAAAAATTTTGAGCTTCGTTTCCAAAGCAAGACAATTATTAACCCTCCGTCAGAGATAGCCTGAGCCAACATTTTAATATGTTTCTCCATTATATGATGTCATCGAGACCTCCAGATCTCAGTAGCCTCGTTATTTTATGTCTACTCTATTTATTCGTCTACATTAGATTGTCTTTGAACTTCGCATATTTTTCAGTAGCAATTTTGTACCAAAAAACAAAATGACAAAGAACACTAAGTTTTCACTATCCTAATTGTTTATATAGTCTTTATAGTATAAACATTCCAACAGAAACATATTTATGTTTCATTCATTTCAGAAAATTTGAAAGATTTGTGCGTCATTTTGAGCGCATATGCGGATTTTTATATTTTGCTATATTATAAAAATAATATTGATCTAATACATATTTCGTTCTTATTTACACATATTAAACATATTCAGCATTGTAAAACCAACTAAATAGAAATGTATAAAACTATAAGGCTCCTGTGAATATATTTAAAATCTGTATCGGTCAAATACACCGCGCCCGGTTTTGTACATATTTGGGCTGAGCCCGACGGAGGGTTAGTTTTGCTTTATTGGATTTTCATCTTCGAAAGTTCCAGGATTCTAGTTGAACTTGGTTATTCAACACTACATTTCTTTGCCATATATATTTTATAATTGAATAAAAATTTACAGTGTCCTAAAGTATCACGAAAATTTAGAATATTTATAATGTCGCGATTATGGGCGGCATTTGTTCATTAAGGGTTAACACGTATATACTGAAAACTAACGTAATAATGGGTGTGTAAAGTTGAAAACATAAAATAAAAGCTTTTATATGAAGTGTAGTTAGTAAAAGTCATTAAAATAAAACAAACAACCGAAATGCGGATTAAGCACAATCCGATTTCGAGAAAGTGCGCAAACACATGACAAACAACGGCAATCTTAAATTCAACTTTGGACTTCGGCTGTTTCAGAGCGAAGTTTACATTCTTCAGAAAAGTGTGCGATTGTCATTGGCACAGTTGAGAAATAAAATTCCGGATCTGCGTGGCCGCGGATGCCATGCAGTCTGCGATCTCGGTTCACACGGATTGAAATATAAAATGATTTCTATTCGAAAACTTTTGCCGCTGCCGCAATGTCTTTGAGTTCGGCTCTCGGGCCCTCGGGCTATGTGAATTTCATTATTACATGTAATTCAACGGCATTAGGAATTCGAACTATGCGCGCGACCACGGGACACTGCCAGTAGGTGCCGGTTACCTGTAATACTA